ATCGGGTGAGCATAAGCTCGATCGGGCGCGGCACACCAACAACGAGCAAGGCAAAAAGGCGCGCCCGATCGGGCGCATGTTTCTGGAAGGCTTTGTTAGACAAGCACTTAGCTTCTAATTAGGAGTTTTTTTTAGTTGGTTGTTTAAGTACGATTTATGTACGTAATTTTGGATTACCTTCTTTTTTAGATTTTCTCTCCTTACTTAGAATATTTCTCTCTCTAAATTTCTCTCTCAACTTTGTTCTTAATAATTTTCATTAATCCAGATTTCCATTGGTAACTATTTCTCTTCCCTTAATCTTAGTTGTTATTTTGTTCCTTTAATCATGTCTTGCTTTATCGCTTTGATTTGTTTAGTTTTTATTATGTGTGAGTAGTTTATTTCTAGGGTTTATGGGGATCCATAAATAATATGAAGGGGTAATTTATTGTTGTTAATTATCAATGCTAGATTAATTTCCTATTGATTGATTTAATGCTCTGTGACTAAATTTGCGCAGATCTTTTATGCATGAGTTTAACAATATTGATTCGAGATTCGACAGATGAGAATTAATGTTTAGGTGTAGTTTCAATAGGCAGGTTAATTTATAAATGGTTAAATCGAGATTCGAAAGATGAGATTTAATATCGGTAAATTAATTGTGTGATTGTAATACGTAGCGAAAGCCCTTTATGATCTGATTAATGTATGCATTGATGAATGATTATTATATTCTACCCTGGAATATTATTTATTGGTGAACCTATGCCCTAGATCCTTTTATTCATTGTTTTCTCCCTATTCTTAATCTCCGTAATTTAGTTCCTTTTGATTTTAATATATTGGTTACTTCATAAACTAGATTATATTAACTAATTAGGAATAAAAAGACTCGTTTCTCTGTGGATTCGACCACTACTAGAAAACAGCTAAATTCCGACGGAAAATTTCCGTCGGAAACACCCTGTTTTCCGTCGGAAAACCCGTTTCCGACGGAATTTTCCGGAAACACCCTGTTTTCCGTCGGAAAACCCGTTTCCGACGGAATTCCGTCGGAAGCGGTTGTCGCAATATGGTTTGTCGGAAAAATGACCTATTCCGACGGAATTTCCGTCGGAAAAGGGTGTCGGACGGCATATTCTGACTCGAGCAAGTCCGTCAGAAATTCCCGACGGATATGATTCCGCCGGAAAATTCCGACGAAAATTCCGTCGGAATATTCTATTAAAAAAACCAAAAAAAAAACTGCACCCCCACCAGCCTCCACCCAGAACCACCACCCCCACCCGAGAACCACCGCACACCAACCCCAACCACAAACCCACCCTTATCCCACCACCACCGACACAAACCTGTAAATTAAACACCACCACCACAAAACTCAGTAAATTAAACACCACACACCACCACCACAAACCCAGAAAATTAAACGCCACACACCACCACCACAAACCCATTAAATTAAACACCAAAAAACGAAAATTAAACCCATAAACGCGAAAATCAAACCCCAACAAAACGAAAATCACCCAAAATCGAAAATTAACACAAAAAAACAAAAAATAGCCCATAAATCTAAAAATTAACAACAAAATCAAAAAATTCCACACAAAATAAATCAAAACCTGTAGATCTACATATTTAAACAGAATTTCGTTTAAAAAAAACATTAATTTTATTAATGGAAATATATAAATATACAATTATCTAATAAAATTCATAAATTTACATAACAATTACAAAAAAGTAACTAGATCTACAATCTAACCTAAATTAAAACTAGATCTACAAAACAAAAACCTTGAGAGTGGGTAGCTCGAGACGGTGGTTGTCGACTTTGTAATTGTTGCGTCGTTGTTGTTGTGGGTTGATGTTGTGGCGGTCGTCGTTGTTGAGGGTTGATGTTGTGGCAGTCGTCGTTGTTGAGGGTTGATGTTGTGGCGGTCGTCGGTGGTTGATGTTGCGGATATACACAAGAGGAAGATAAGAGGAAAGGAAAGGGAAGAGGAGAGAAGAGGAAATGGAAGAGGAGAGGCGAAAGAGATTGAAAGAGGGGAGGGGCAGAGCCACAGAGGGAAAAGAGATGAGAAGAGAAGAGGAGAGGAGAGAGAAAGAGAATGAGTAGGAAAAGGGGAAAGTGAAAAGGCGGAGAGATGAAAAGGGGAAAAGCTAGGGGCGTCTCTTTAGGGTTTTATTTTTGAAATGTTAATTTTTTTTTTTAAAATAGGACTTCCGACGGAAATTCCGTCGTAAATTTCCGACGGATACAAATTCCGTCGGAAAATTAAATTTCCGACGAAATAATCCGTCGGAAAGTACATATTTTCCGACGGAATAATTTTCCGTCGGAAATTCGATTTCCGACGGAATTTTTTAATTCGTCGGAAATATACGACGAAATATAATTCCGTCGAAATTTTTGGTTTTTCCGACGGAATTTTAGGTCCGTCGGAATTGGACCTGATTCTTGTAGTGGACCCTACTTTCCTATCTGCATTAGTTAGAGGACTTAGGTAATACTTTTGATTAGGGGATAGTGGGATGCGACTATACCCTGTCAGCTATATATATATAATTTCGTAATGTAAGAAATTATGAAAATTATATATTTGGAAAATATACATTAATATTAATATAAAAAACTCCATTTGATACATTTTTTTTTATTTTTTTTATGGATTAACATATAACGTCAGATATTAGTAACTTTAAACCATAAGTTTTCCCTACAAAAACATAAATTTTGTTGTTATATACGTCCCCCACTATAAATTAGATGACAAATCATGACATACATTTTTTTTAATGTTTGCTAAGGCAAAAGTTCAACCGAAAATATATTTGATAATATTATTGTAAAAAAAAAAATACTAAAAGTTGAATTTTAATTAAGTATACATTAAAATGAACTTATTTTTATTGAAATGAACTTATTTTTACGAAACTGAAATTATTTTTTCTGAATATTTTTTTTAAGGTGAACTGAACAAATGTACATCACTATTAAGTACTCCGTATTAACTGTTAAGTTTTTATATAAAAAAAAAAAAGTTAGACTAGAGTTATATTTAGACCTTAAATAAAACTTATTCTAGATTAGATCATATAAAAAAAGTTCATATAATAAAGAAAATGTATTTAAATTTTAAAACATATGTTATTGTTATGTGTCCAATTTTTATTGCTACATATATATAATTTCGTAATGTAAGAAATTATGATAATTATATATTTGGAAAATATACATTAATATTAATATAAAAAACTCCATTTAATACATTTTTTTTATGGATTAACATACATATAACGTCAGATATTAGTAACTTTAAACCATAAGTTTTCCCTAAAAAAACATAAATTTTGTTGTTATATACCAAAAATATATTTGATAATATTATTGTAAAAAAAAAATACTAAAAATTGAATTTTAATTAAGTATACATTAAAATGAATTTAACAAGATTCTACATGGCTAATAATGTCAAAAATCAAAATGTGTCATTGAAACAAAAGGAGGAGATATTATTGAGTCATAAATATTAGGACTAACGTGAGTCCGGTCATACAAACAAAAAAATGCATGAACCTCCGCTTCGAAGAAGATCTCCCAGACTCTTTCTCTCTCCTCTCGATTACCACCAATTAGCTCTCATGCAAATTGCATCATAATTCTAGATCACACCCTGTTCTTGGATCAGTACTCCACAATGACCAACATTACACTCCTCAACCTCTCAAAGTTCATCACCCCAGAATACTAAGCTCCTGTTGCTTAAACCTCCACCTTCTTCGCCTGTAAGACGGTCACCAAGGTTCAATTGTGTTATTTAATCCGGGAATTGTAATGTTTATGCCTCTACATTGTCGAAATCGAATGGAAAGACGGTGAGAAATTCGGAATCGAGGAAATTAGCTTTGAGTTTGAGCTCTGATTCAGTTGTTAATGGTGGTAAGAGAAAGCAAAATTCTATGATTGATCGAGAGTTTATGAGGCGGTCGTCGAGGTTTTCGACTTTCAAATCAGAGATGAGCGTTGAAATCGATCTTAAATTAGGGGAAAAAAACGCCATATTGAAGCTGATTGAATCTCCGAGATTGTTGCTATATTAGATCTTAATTGTCATATTTTAGATTATAATTGTCATATATTAGATTATAAATATCAGAAATTAAATCATAATTGTCAGAAATTAGGTTATATATACTACAATATAAGATATTAGATATTAGATTATTAATGTCAGCTATTAGTTTATTATAATCAGGTATTAGGTTTATTTTGTTTGGTAATAGAATAGTATGTTTATTTATTTTTTTTTTTTTTTATAGTGTGGTTAGGTGTTAGGAATATTAGTATCATGTATTAGAATACTATTGTCAGATATTAAAATATTAGTGTCATATATAAGAATATTATTTTCAGGTATTAGAATATTACTGTCATGTATTAGAATATGATTGTCAGATATTAAAATATTAGTGTCATGTATAAGAATATTATTGTCAGGTATAAAAATATTAGAATATTATTGTCAGATATTAAAATATTAGTGTCATATATAAGAATATTATTTTCAGGTATTAGAATATTACTGTCATGTATTAGAATATGATTGTCAGATATTAAAATATTAGTGTCATGTATAAGAATATTATTGTCATGTATTAGAATATTACTGTCATGTATTAGAATATTATTGTCAGATATTAAAATATTAGTGTCATGTATAAGAATATTATTGTCATGTATTAGAATATTACTGTCATGTATTTGGTGTTGCGGGCCTCGTGATTGGGTTTAGTTAACCCGTGCCTTTTTGTTGGACTTTTGTTATTGAGTCCGGTCTCACGTGAGTCCGGTCTCACACAAAACCTTTTGTAAATATTACTCTGTAAAGACAAAGGACATCTATTTAAATGAGAGTATTAAACTTTTATAATTTTAATTACTAGATTATCTTACAATTTACATACTTATGGTTGAAATTTTGCACATTGATTGATTTGATTGACAAACATTTTTTTTTCCTAAGGAAATGATTGACATTTGACAAATATATTTGATCGAAATAATGCAAGTAACATGCGACATGAGACACACAAATACACAATGTTTCGTGGGAAATTCCTTTAAAAAAAAAAAAACGATTTTGTCGAGTAGCAATCACCAAGGTAATCAAATTTGGCTCATCCAAAAAAGACAACCATGAACCATCTACTTCTCAAGCTCTCCTACCAAATCAAACTTAATTGCACTTCTCAACATTGGTTTCTAATCAATAACCTCATAAAAAAAAAATGGCAGGAATAATTTCATCATCTTCTTACAACACTCATCACAAACTTCTACTACAACCATGTCATCATCCATCATCACAAACGTTGCGCCGGCAAAACAAGAATCCAATAAAAACTTTAACCAAAACCCGAATGATGAAAATCGCGGAAGAAAGATGTGGAATGAGATATATGGCGGTAATGGGTGATAAAAATAATGGTAGAGTAAGGCGAAGATGGGCGGAAGCGGTGAAGTGTATGGCGGCGGAGGGAGGAGGAGTGAGTGGTGCACCACTAGTGGTGGAGAAGTATAGATATACGGTGGTTTGTTTGGTGGCGTTTGTTATGTGTCTTTGTAATGCAGATAGGACTGTAATGTCGGTTGCTATTGTTCCTTTGGCTCATACTAATGGTTGGTCCACTTCTTTTGTTGGAATTATTCAGGTAACATTATAATTTAAGGTTATTTCTCATCAATTATTGGGTTAATTTGGTTTTTGGCTTCAGGGTTTTGTTAATGGGGGACTCATATTTATGATTGGGAATATTGTTATTTGGTTTCATGTTGTTTGATATTTTATTATGTTAATTAATACAAGTATATAGTATGAATTGCCTTAGTTGTTTTGAGTATAGTTTGATCACATACAAGTTTAATCAAGTTGCGTTTATAATACATATACATAATTGACATGCCTAATTATAGAAATATTGTCAGTTAATCAATGAGGTCTTTGCGTAGTGGTTAAGACTGAGTGTCTGCATACAATAGGTTACAGGTGTAAATCCCTCTAGCCAGATTGACATTTTCAACACAAATAAACTTATTTTCAACCCATGTTATTAGTTTAATACAAAGTACAAAGTATAATTATATTACGGAGTAGTTAGAACAATTGAGGACTTCTAGGTTCCAGGTTGTGGCCATGTGGGTTATTCTTGAAGCCTTTGGGTTCTGAGTTGAGTATAAACTAGTCACCTCCCTTAATTTTTTTACCAATAAGGGACATTTGTTCTTGAAACACACATGGGAAACTATAACGATGATTATAATTATATTAGTAGAAACAAAACAATTTTGTACATATAAATTAATAAATACATTGTGGAAGCATGATCTTCCGAAGTAACACAGTAAGTGTTCCATATTGATAAAAGAATGAAGATGTTAAACACTTGATAAAGTTAAGGGGTTACTCCTCTTATTACCAAATGGTTTTTGGATAAAACTTCCTAAAACCCGTGAAATGGACTCTCTCTTGGTGACGGGTGTGACCTATGCCCGTATATAACAATTAACATGTTATTAGAGCCAGGTGTACGATTAGGATGACCATAATATACTCATGTCACTTGTGAGGAGTGTTCCTATATTGGTATAAGATAAGAGAGTTATTGCCATATGATTTTTGAATGGAACCTCCTTGGAATTATGAAGTGGACTCTTTCTCTCGTCTTGGTGATGGGAGTGGCCCTGTATTGGACTTATGAAGTGGACTCCCTCCCTTGGTAACGGGTGTAGACCCGTATTTGGCATATTGTGTTCCGATCCACATATTATCAAATAGTTGATGCAATATTGCAGTATTTGATTCAAGGAACTCCACACATTCTTAATGTATGGTTCCACAAATTTTCATATTCCCAAAGTGTTGATCTGTTGTATGGTTGATATTTTCTACCAAATTTCTTTACATAATTATTTATGGTAGCCTCCTTGTTACCTCCACAATACCACATGAGTATAAAGGAATAACTTATACTTGCTTGAATAAATGAGCCTTGAACTTGCAGCCTTTGGGTTGTGAGTTAGGGAGTAAATTGCTACCCTTCTTCCCAGGCCATTGTTTATCTTCACTATGACTTAACAGAATTCTTGCCTGCAATGAAGTATAGATTGTGTTCGAGTTTGAATTAACGCCTACAATTTTATAAGATAATGTTACTCGTCTACTTTTATATACCTTAAATTAATTTAGGGAAAACCCCCATCAACTTGCTTAATAATCTGGTTTCTTGGTCTATATAATGAGCTTAGGCTAGATACATATGCATGTCTACATTTATAAACATGTTAGATACGGAGTTTAAGGAGTATTTACTGATTCATGTGACTAGCCATTGACTCTGCTAATCATGCTAGATAACCAGATGATCAAATTATGCATTACTAAGGGAGTAAGGACATGCAAATGCTATATCTGAATGTATCCATTTCATATAATTTGTTTTGCGTGCAGTCATCATTTCTATGGGGCTATATAATATCCTCTGTAATTGGTGGAGCAATAGCAGACAGATTAGGAGGAGCACGAGTAATGGCATGGGGTGCTGGATTGTGGTCCTTGGCCACTCTTCTTACTCCATGGGCAGCCAACCACTCTGCTGCCACCCTCTTGGTTGTTCGTGCTGTTTTCGGCCTGGCAGAAGGAGTAGCTTTCCCTTCCATGAACATCCTCCTATCAAGGTAATTCCTTCTTTATCAACGGCCATTATCTTTATATGTGCACAAGTCTTATTTTAAAATTATGCACATCAGTTAAGAGGAATTTTCAACTTAGAAGTTTGTAGTCGTGTCTGCTCCCCACATTGTTTATTGTTCCAAATCTACTTGTTTTACTTTCATGATAAAAGGAAAATATTTTGGCTACTCAATTAACAAATAAAGTACAGTGATGGCAAATTTCTTCTGATAATGAAGAAAGACTAGAACAACAGAAGATTTTGGTACTAGTTTGTATACATTCCCGACTGATAAGACATGATTATAATAGTTTAAAGTTCTATTTTAGGCTATCACCTTCTATTTTTTTTTCAGAGAAAAAAAAAAAATTAAGAAGACAGGTTGCTTTGATTACCTTTACTTTGATTAGGTGGTTTCCAATCCATGAGCGTGCAAGAGCTGTGGGAATCTCCATGGCAGGATTTCAACTTGGAAATGTAGTAGGCTTGTGCCTTACTCCAATTTTAATGTCAGTAGTTGGAATATCAGGACCTTTTGTGCTGTTTTCTTCTCTTGGACTACTTTGGCTGGTGGCATGGGCTTATGGAGTTGGAAGTGATCCTAGAAAAAGCCGTTTTGTCAGCAAGTTAGAGGTCCAACTTATCGAAGCTGGGAAGGCCGTTGATTCTTCTAACAGCAATGGCAAAAGCCATCGTCTTCCATTAGTCCTTCTCTTATCAAAAAAGCCTTTTTGGGCAATCCTTCTTGCCAATATTATCAATAATTGGGTAGGATTATATTATTATACTTCAAAAGGTCTACAAAATTGAGGAGCTTACAATCTGATCGAATAATTAATGCCATATATTTCTTGGTTTATCAGGGATATTTTGTTCTTCTTTCGTGGATGCCTATTTATTTCAATACTGTAAGTATCATGTACAGTACATGCTGCTCCCTTTGTTATTCAAAGGCATCCATTCAACTTTCATTGACGGGTTTTAGGCTGTGGAATGCAGGTGCTAAATGTGAACCTAAGAGAAGCGGCATGGTTTAGTGCTATTCCATGGGGAGTGATGGCAGTATCGAGCTTTGTTGCTGGCTCAGCATCTGATCATCTAACCAAAGCTGGCTATTCTTTGGTATTTGTTCGCAAAATGATGCAGGTAATTTGTCCCTTTTAGTACTTCCCTATGCATTCTTCTGTTTACAGATCATGAATTTCTGCTTTTCAATTGTTAGGCATATATCTGTTTTTAATTGATCATGTAGTTATGATGTTTGCAGTCTATAGGATTTATCGGACCTGGATTATCATTACTTTGCCTAAATTATGTCAAGACTCCAGGAATTGCATCTGTCATTCTTACAGTTGCTCTGAGCTTGAGTTCTTTCAGTCAAGCTGGGTATTTCCTCAATGTACAAGTAATGACCCCTTGTCTCTTCTTTCACACCTAAGTTTTCTTTCTAAGTCAGTCTATGCTATCTTAATGGCTGTCAGCTAAGTCGATTAAAAATAAGATATTTGAGCCTCAGAGAGTATAAAGTTTGGTCTTGTGTTAAAAGTGATCCCTTCACATATTTACTGAGATGGTGGTATAAACCTGTATTCTAATGTAATTTTGGCTCGAGGCAATATTGTCTGAAAATTGGGTCTTATAGTAAGTTATGGTCATGTTTTAACATGCTCTCTCTAGAGTGAGAGTACACCAACTCAACAATTGGTGTCTGGCATGGAATTGCATTAAACTGTCCTGAAAATCTCACAAAATTTGTTGTGCAGGATATTGCTCCATATTCAACAGGGCTTGTTCATGGTACATTATTGATCTCTTTCTATATATATATATATATATATATATATATATATATATATATATATATATATATATATATATATATATATATATATATATATATATATACGAGTAGCATATAAGAGCATATTATAGGATACTGATTAGCCCAAATTCTTATCAACAGGTATTACAAATGGAGCAGGGACATTGGCTGCAATAATCAGCACCATTGGTGCAGGCTACTTTGTGGAATGGCTTGGATCTTTCAAAGCATTTTTGACCTTGACAGCAATGCTTTATTTTGCTGCGACCATCTTTTATAATCTTTACGCCACTGCAGAACGAGTGGTTTGATATCCGAGCTAACCGAGATCATAAATTGTACAGATATGTTAAACTCAATTTCTCAATGTTGTAATTTTTTTTCCTCCCAGTCTGATGTATTATTCAGCCTAATTATTCGAAAATGTGTATTTGTAACTCAAAAATCATAGAGAGTACAAAAATGGAACATCTTGTTTCTTTTACTACCTCCATTTCTGAAAGTTCTCAACATTTACGGATTTTTTAGCGTTGTTTGCTGAATAATCCTTGGGATTTTTTACGAAACTGAGCCCTATTAGCAAACTATTTACGAATATAGACGCGTGGCCAAACTATTTACGGAATTGAGCTTCTGAGGTAAAACGCTGCCTCGGTCAGCGTTTTACCTCTGTTATTATTTTTTTTTTAAATTTCTTATTTAGTGAAATGCAATTTTTTTTTAAAAAAAATATGGAAATACATAAAAACGCTGCCTCAGTCAGCGTTTTTGTCCTTAAAACGCTGACTGAGTTAGCGGTTTTGCCTGGTATATTTTTCGCGCACTCACTCTTCCTCAAAACAAAAAACTCAAACTCACTCTTCCTCACTTTTTATGTGTTATCGCAGATGACATGGGACCCGTATGAAGCTGATTTAGTTGCTGCCATGCCTCCACATCTGCTAGATCATCAGGCGCAGTGGCGTTCTAGGGTCCCCCTGATTTGTTTTGAGGTCGTCGAGGGTCACCTACCAGATCGAGTCATGCGACAGTTTGGACTACGACAGACTGTCCCCCAGCAGTGTGACACTAGTGCCCGGCTGCACCGCATTGACCGTCGGGGAAAGAGCGACAGGAACTAGCGGACGGAGCATGCCCAATACATTGACTTGTGGCATCGACGGTTGGGGCTCGTCGTCACTGGTGACCCCATCCACGGCGTTATGAATCCATACGATCCATACATGGAGTGGTACATGCGGATTACACGACGTTTCATCAACCCCAGCTACACACCGCCATCCGCACATTACCATCCATCCTTTGACGTGATCAGGGGATATGTAAGTGTATTTGATTAACTTATTTTTATCAATTTTAAATTTGTATATCATTCAACTAACAAATCCTTAATTACTGCAGGCGTTGGATATGACGGCGATGGTTGTCGCACTGTCGGACGTCCTTCCAGGCATACCTGAGCCGCCCAGAGCACAGGTCGAGCGGGTGCGAGATATGGGCATGGCTACCTTGCAGAGATATGATCACGCCTATCTCGTCCACCCCCGGGAAGATCATGGCGGCCACTCTAGTCACTCACAGTTCGAGGCTGACCAGAGTAGCTGTGGGGGTGATCCTTCGTCATTCACGGGCGCAGGGGAGTATGACATTCGCAGTTCCGCGCCCCTACGTCATCCTGATGACCCATCTTCCAGCCAGCTGACTCCGCCAGTACGCCCGAACCCATTTACCACGGTCCGTCACTACAGCCGTCGTCAAAGGCCGAGAGTGGACATACATGATAGAGAGCCGTTACACCAAATTGATGAGTCAGAATAGGATAGAATTATCTGATTTATTTGCTGTAATGACCTTCTCTATTTTGTTGTACATAACACTTACATTACATTATTATTTGAATAATTATTTGAATAAATTTATGTCTTGTTTGAATTTCAAATTCCTTATTTGTCCACGTTTGACTCATTTCGTTCAAAATAAATTGTGGATGTGGAGGTGGTGGATGTGGAGGAGGATGGGTGGTGGAGGTGGTGGATGTGGAGGAGGAGGGTGGTGGAGGTGTTGGAGGATGTGGAGGAGGAGGGTGATGGTGGTGGTGGATGTGGAGGAGGAGGGTGGTGGTGGTGGATGTGGAAGAGGAGGGTGATGGTGGTGGTGGATGTGGAGGAGGAGGGTGGTGGTGGTGGTGGTGGATGTGGAGGAGGAGGGTGGTGGAGGATGTGGAGGAGGAGGGTGGTGGTGTTGGTGGATGTGGATGTGGAGAGGGTGGTGGATGTGGAAGGGGGCTGCACTGGCTGCTGTTGGGGGCCTGTTGTTGCTGGCTTCAGCCAGCAGATAAAACGCTGACTGAGACAGCGTTTTATGCTTAGGTGTAAAACGCTGACTCAATCAGCGTTTTTCTTGTATCCATAACAGAGAAAAACGCTGACTGAGTCAGCGTTTTACTGTATTTCCAATTTTTTTTTTTAAATTTGTATTTCACATAATACGAAATTTTATAAAAAAAAATAATAATCAAAGGTAAAACGCTGACCGAGGCAGCGTTTTATGTCAGAAGCTCAGTTTCGTAAATAGTTTGGCCACGCGTCTAAATTGGTAAATTGTTTGCCAATTAAGCTTACTTTCGTAAAAAATCCTAATCCTTGCATACTGTCTTATCTAGCTTTGTTCATTGAATCTTCTTGATTACAGTATTTTTTTTAGAATATTGTTTTATTGAGACATGAGAGGTTGTGCATCAATGAACCTTTATTCATGATTTGGCATGATTTTGGCCTCAATTTATGCCAACACATTGTTGATTTACTTGGAAATTGACAGCTTGAAAATATCAAGTGTAAAAGATCATCAATTTGTATTGATTGTAATGATATATTTTGTTGATTAGTAATGTGTATAAAGACATCAATTATGTTGTGTAGTATGAATCTTTCAAAATTGTAATTTCATGTATTGACCATGATATAATCATGTCGCCACATACCATCCACATTGTACATCGACCACATGTCAGTAAACTATGGTTTTAACAAATTAATGGATTGGTTTTCCTTTTTCTCGATTTATTTTTGGTGAATTTAAGTAATTTTTGATGAAAGTAAATTTGTTTTCAAAATTTTACTTGTTTTTGTTTGAATTTTTGCTAATTACTTTTAATTTAATATTCTTTACTTAGCTTATTTTTGCTGGAAAATAATTTACTGTACATACTAAGGCTATGTTCACTTCACCTTAAAATTATAATATTATGTAAAATAAGTTCAGTTCAGAAAAAATCAGTTATGTTAAAGTATAATTATAATAAAAAATCAACAAAAATAATTTCAGTTCAGCAAAATTTATTTAAGTTAAGTAAAAATAATTTAACTTCAACAAAAATAATTTTGTTTCATTAAAAATAATTTCATTTCAGCGAAATGAGGTGAAGTGAATGGGGCCTAAGTTTTTAAAATTTGACAAAACATTTAAAAAAAAAATAAATGCAATACATATAACTAGAGTTGACAAATATGCTATGTTTTGTTGCATTTGGATAATTTTCAGAACGGATTGTAAAACCCTCTATTAATTTTCATTTAATTACAATAGAATTTAAATTTGTGGCTTCAAAATCACAATCCATAACAGTTAATAAAATAAACCGAGTCATAAAACAATACCGTGGTAGATTTAGATTCGGAAGGACACGCTAGCGACTCGAGAGTGTCCCACACTTCCGTTACATTCACGACTTTCAACTCTCACTCTCACTCTCACTATCACAATCACACTCACTCCATACAACTATTACAAAATTACACACTACTTTTAACAAACTACTAAAACTCCCAATTCTCTTCATTCACTCTGATTATTCCCCAGAAAATAAAATAAAATTCAAACTCATAAAATCACAAACTTTATAACTCCAATTTTTAGAACAAAGATGAAGACACTAAAGCCCAATTTCACTCTCTCTCCAACTCCAACCCTCTCAAAATCTTCATCTTTTCATTCAAAACCACCCCAAAATTTAAGGAAATGTTCCCATTATTTAAGGGTATATACCCTTAATCCCATTTCATGTTCTTCTTCTAATAAGGTATCACCTCCTTCTGCTCGAACTTCATCTTCTTCTTCGACTTCTTTACTGGTTTCTGGGGTGGGTCCCACAAGGTTTAAGGGTCATTCTTGGAATTCTGAGGTCATGGAGGAAAACCTAGAAAAGGTGTGTTTCTGTTTCCCAGTTTTAGACTTTTTTGTGCTTTTTAATTATACAAACTTAATTTATTTTGTTGTTTTTAATCTACTCTCTCCGCCCCAAAAAGAATGACCGGGTTGATTACGCGGGTATTAAGACCATTCTCAGCAGTGAGGAAAAAAAAAAACCTCTCAATCTCTCTCTCTACCCACTTTCTCACTCCTCCCATACAATTTCTCTCATCAAATGTTTTTTTCACCACAGCAATGAGGAGAAAAAAAACCTCTCATCACTTTCTCCTCCACTATTTTTTAATTTATTTTTTAATTACGTTTAAAAATAATTTAATAAAAATTTATAATTACGTTTAAAATATTAATAATACTAACTGGAAATTTTTTTTATAAGAAATAATTATAATAATAATAATAACAAGAAGAAATTGGGAAAATATGTTAATTTTTCTAATTTATGGGTTTTTTTGAAAGTATATCAAAATGCATGTCTATTTATAGAGAAAAAAATTTTATGGTCGTTGGTGAATTTTTTTTTTTTTTTAAATAATTACAACGGTTATATTTCAAATACAAAATATAACCGTTGTAAAAAAACAACAAAAGCAGTGGGGGCCACATGTTACTGTTCATCACCAAAAGCCCTCAAGTCTTTTCACTCATCGGTGAGTGTTTTTTCACTCACTGATGTAGTGTTCGGATTTTTTTTTTACACCCTTATTTTTACTCGTGAGGGCTTTTCTCCTCACTGCTGGGAGTGCTCTAAGGAAGTTAAGTAAAAAGAAGAAAAATATATTGGAAAAATAAATTTACATAGGATTTGTAAAAAAATAGAAAGAGAAAGTAATAAAATAACATGGATAATAAGATTTTTATATGGGGAAGCTAATTTTGTACAAATATTGTTGCAAATTGATGGTGTTTTAATGCAAATGGGTCATTCTTTTGACGGAGGGAGTATTTAATATGACCATCTACCGATGTACGGAATTAATAGTCGTATTGATAGAGTAATTTGATGATTGAAATAGTAATGTGACAACTAAATCGGAAGTACGGAACTGAGGTATGGAGGTAGAATAAGTCATATGTATCCTTAAAGGATATTTATATATTATTAAACATGTTACAGTACTTATGATCTCCTGAAATCAGGAGAGAATCTCTAACCACTTAAGCTATCTCTCACTCTCATTTATTTTCACTCTCATTTATTTTAATATGTTGTATCATTAGAATTGCAATACTTTTTATTGTTACACCATTTTGATTGTCTGCTTATACTGGTATAACATAAACAAAAACTATATACCAGTACAAAGTATAAAACATTGATCCTTGGATTAGTTTAATTGTACATTTTCGATGTATCAATTGTCAAAGTTGTACGTCGTAAAACTCCTAATTTTGGTCTAATTGTTGCAAAGAATATTACTAAGCACACTCTCAATATGTACTTGCCACAAATTTTAGGCAATTGTGGATGTCGTTTAATTTAGTTGGTTAAAAGTCTTACAAGGTGGTACGCTAGTGCTTAAGACTTGAAATCAAATTCTGTGTATATTATTGCTATTTGTGACTCTCTTTACTCCAATTTTTTTTTTTTTTTTTTTTTTAAGTTCTCCCTTGCTTTCACTATCACTCTCTTTTCTTGCGCTAACACCAACATCCCTAAGTTTGATGTCCTTCCTTAATGTCATGTTGCATCTCTTAAAACTTCCAATGACTTTGCAACTTGTCCTTCATAAATGTTGTCTTGCAACACCTTAAACATGTATATTATTTGTTTTTTTTTGTCTGTTTATTTGTTGTTGCAAAATGTATATTGATATTGTAGAATGAATTAAAGAAATTAGCTAAAATGATACTTGTATTATATTTAGGATCAAAAAGAGTGAAACAAAACTATTTGCACTTTTTCCTCGGCTTGGAGGAGTGGGGGTGGAGGGGTTAAAACTGTTGCATTTTTATGTTACATTTATGTCCAAAATCTAGTTTGTAATATTGATTGGTTATTTTGGGTTGATTGATAGGTTATATATCGATGTCGATTTGTGACATTTCTTGGAGTATTTGGTTCCTTGATTGGGTCAGTTCTTTGCTTCATCAAGGTAAGCTCTAATTTATGCTCTATTGAATTTTGTTCTTGAGAGTGCATCATCATATGATATGTATATGCTACAGGGTTCATAATCTAAAAAATATCTCGTTTTTTCCTCTTAATGAACGATAACATGAGTGGTTCTGCCTGCCATGTTTCAGAAGGCCTTTACTAATTCTGTAGGGTGATTGTATACTTGTATTTGATCATGATTTCTTGCATGGATTAAACCTATTGTCATTTGTTTAAGTTTGAAATTTGTATATATATATATATATATACACGTAGAGTTTAGCATAGTACACAGTAATATATTTTGTCTTTTCATTAGCTTTGGTATCTATCAGATGATGCAGGGTATACTAATTTTATTAACCTGAAGTCTTGTTTAGTATTTAATTTTTGAACTATATGTCTATAAGTTAAGTTAAATTTGAGGTTTTGCCTACATGTCTCTCTAACTTTCAGTTATTGGTCATATGGTAGTGTTAGGCCTGTAAGCTCAGTTTCTCTTTTAACTTCTAGATTTTGCCTACTTCATGCCACTGATACAGTCTTCTTGGATGTAGGGTTGTGGTATTGTGGCATCGTCTTTCTATGAATACTTTGCACAGAGTGGGAAGGTGATTGTCTTGGTGATTGAGGCCATTGGTGTGTTTCATGAACATCTTCATTTGTTGTTTTAACAGGGTTATTGTGACAATGTGATTGCTTTTCTATGCTTTTCCCCTGTAAATTTTATCCTTTCTATTGTTCAGGAGTAAATAGGGAACACCATTATCAATAATATTACATTAATTTAGCATTCTAAAATCAGTTATTCAATAGAGTTTGGGAACTTCAGGAACGTAGATATATATGATTTGTGAGGTTACCTTTCTATTGGACTTAGAAAATAACTCAAATAAGTACTTTCATGCCCCATCTACTGGAGGCCATTTTTGAGGAGTTTTAAGGCCCTTTCTTTGAGGATTATTTCTAAAGTGATGGGATTTATTACTATTAGACCAAAATACCTCATGAACAATAATAACTACCCCGATTACTCTAAAAAAGCTTCTGCCATGTCCAAGGTTATAAATTGTCAGATATAAGCAATTTTACACCTGAGGTTATGGAAAGGGTGTTTTCAATCGACCCTTAGCTTTATTCACTGTACAATAGCTATAAGTTGCTTCAGAATGAATAGCAGGCTTTGCCTTTTTAGCCTTTGTCATTATTCCTTGTAAATTCTAACTTCATTAAAAGGAGGTAGCCTGCACTGAACGACTTCCACTGTCCTTTTCTGATTTTCTTTCTTCTTTTATCCTTTCCTTCTTTTTAACGAAATTTGCTTCGGATATGATGCAAAGTGTGAAGTCGTTGGCAGCCTATCCATTTTTTTTGGTTCGGTTGCATTCGTTTGAGCTTCACCAGGGCTCTTGGTAGTTGCTGTGTAATAAACATGAATCCTTTTTGTCATAATTTCTTATTTTACGAGCTTCCATTTAATAGTCTTTTTCTTAACCTTAAATAGACGGAAGAAAGAATAGAAGTTTATAATATTGATCTCAAGTGAGTAGACACTATGCTACTACCCTTAATTGTCGACGAATGCTTGTGTATGACTTTCTAATTTATGTTTAATGCTGGCTCTGCATGTTACATTGCCTTAATTTATTTCATTGCTTTCCATGAAATAATCAGGCCCTTTTTCTGAATCATAATTACACTTTCATTTGTGAGGCTTGAAATTTACTTTGTCATATTATCATTGCTACAGATATTTATCTACTGGGAACAGTGATGCTTATCTTTGGAATGGGTCTCTATGAGCTCTTTGTGTCCAACCTTGACATTGCAAAGTCACTGTCAGAAGCGAAGCATCAGCATCAGCATCGATCAAGTTTATTTGGCTTATTCCCTTTAATGGTAATTATTCTGTTCTTTGAAAATTTAATATTGTATTTAGCTATGCAGTAAAAATTTGGTTTCACAGTAGAGACTAGAGATCTGATTTATATTGATCAATGAAAACTATAAATGTCCCTCTGTTACAGGGGAAGAAAATCTAGCTTTCTCAAGAGTATTTTGTGGCTGCAAAATACTAAACAGTGTAAAAAATTTAGCAAATCTTCGTCTGGTGCTATGTTTGATTTCGAAGAAGATAAATTTAACTGGATTTTACTTTGTGGAACATAATTTAACAATTCTTCTTCTTTTTCTTTGTCTTGAACACCTTAATCCCAGGAGGTCACCCATCCTAGTACTACACTCAATCATTGTTGAATCTTTATATTCCATTATTTTGTTCTTTGCCCGAAATATTGAGTGGGGTGGAGAGAGAGCTGAGTTAAGGCATGTGTCGGATAATTGCAAAATCTTCACGTTAGCATTGTCTTTTTCACCCTTGGGAAAACTATTTTCAGCCAAACAATTTTTTTGATCTTTTATAACCAGAGAGGAAATCCTGAAAACTACTCTGTAAAAGGACATCTCGCAACCAACCACAGCCTTCAGACTGCTCTCAGTCTTGCTGCCCTGGATTTAATATCTTTCTTCCTTTAATGTGCAGGAACGACCAAAATGGCTGGTAATTAAGTCAGTTAGCGAGCTGAAGACCAAGGTAGGACATGTAATTGTGATGCTGCTCCTGATAGGGTTGTTTGACAATAGTAAGAAAGCAGCTATCCACTCTCCTACTGATTTACTTTGCTTCTCAGCTTCTGTTCTCCTTTGCTCTGGTTGCCTTTTTATGCTCTCTAAGCTTAACGGCTCAAAATAAATTTGGTACATGATGTTGTAACTATAGTAAGAAAAATGGCATATTAGCAGCATGCTTATAGGAAATGTTTTACCCCTAAAAGCTGTACTGTAATCATATGTGTATATATATAGGCTGTTATGGAATGAGATTATAATAATTGATCAGATGACCCAGCATAAGCTAAGCATTCCAAAAATTGGCCCTAGTTTTTTTCCAACCTGGTCATGTTGGTTGGAAAAATTGTTTGGGTTTGGGTTTGGGTTTGGGGGGGGGGATATTTGACCCTGCAACTTTGGAATATTTTATATTTGACCTTGTCATGCTTATATATATATATATATATATATATATATATATATATATATATATATATATATATATATGCATTTTAGAGTTTGTATCCCTCTTTTGATATGATCAAGATAGGAGCCTGATTTGGATTCTCTTAATAATGATTTTTATTTTTTATTTATTTAAAAAAAATTATTTTATATACTACCTCCGATTTTTTTAAGTTGCAACTTTGGAATAATATATATATATATATATATATATATATATATATATATATATATATATATATATATATATATATATATATACTAGTTTTGTACCCGTGCGATGCCCAGGTTTATTGAATTTTAAGATAAATTTTTAATCTATATGTCAAATTTTAAAACATATCATTGATATAAAATTAGTTAGGAATTGATGTGTTTTTGTGATGATTTAAACTATATAGTAGGCATGTAATGACTAATAATAACATTGGTGAAAAACATTTCTTGACCCGTAACCTGAAGTAATGATCTTGTCCGAAATGACTCTAGATTGTAAAGTGTATTATATTGTTTTAATTGATTAGAATATATTATAAATAATGGATGTGGTGCATTTTGAGCTAATTCCTTCGCTCCAAAAAAATACTATGATACAAAAAATAAATTTATGAGTGTAATAATTTTTTTTAATAAAATTATAATTTAATTTGTACATATAAAATATTGATACTTTATCGAAAATAAAACTCTAAATTAACAATTTTATTCTAAAATTCTATCCAAATTTGATTGAAAATAGATTCTAAATTATTTTTATTATCATACTAATTGAATTCTATATAACTCTATCCTATGTGGCGCGACACTTAGCAAAAATTGGAACCCAAGTATCGCTATTTCGTCGCCTGGCTAAAAGTTTAGCTTTATGTATTAGTTATATGATATATATATATATGGAAAAGTTAAAATTATAAAATAAAGGTGGATTATTATCCTATTCAAAAGTCCCTCCATGATTGGTTTACTCAATTTAAAAAGAGAATATGAAATGAAAATTATTTGGGAAAATGTTGAAAATCTTCACTTAATATAAAATGTTTGAGAACTCCTATGAAGGATATACCCCATCTAGATTCTAGTTTACAGATATGATATGGCTCAAGGATTAAGAAAAGGAGAGTGGGGGAAAAGATATCACCATGATATACTTTATTTGGGCCAAAAATGAAATAAAGAGAGGATTTGAAATTTTTTTAAAGTTTTGTGGGGTTAGATAATGTTGGTGGGTAGATTTGTTATATTGTTTGTTAAGAGAATTGTCAAGCTATAACCTTTGTAACTTGACACAATATATTAGATTTTGAAACTACAACCTCTTTTATTAACAAGTAACTTTGTAATTAAAGTAGGCTCCACATGTTCATCATTTTTTGAACATATTTATATATACTACTTGCATTCTTTTTATTTACCTATTTGCTTATGTAGCTTAATTTTTTTAAGCTAACTTGGCCTTTTACACAAACTATGATTTGGCTACAAGAGTTGGTGTACAATTCCAATGGCTTTTCAATATTATTGTTTTTTGTAATCATTGTATTTGTTGCCCTATAAAAATAAAATCACAACCCAAGTTGACTAGATAACAAAGTCAAATTTGGATTGTAACTAGGTTAACTCAACTTTGAGATTAACTAGATCCAATTAAACCCAAACCCTTTTGCACTAGCCAAAATTTACCCTAACTATTTTATTTTTTATTTTATTTTTTTTGACAAACACCCTAAATAATCTAATAATCCCTCCGTTTTTTTTATATGCATCACTTGGGAATGTACATAGTTTTAGGAGATAAATATAATATTGTGAGTGGATGAATAAATTATTATAATAAAAGTATGATGGGAACAATGAAAGAGAAAGTATGTGAGAGAGAATAGATATTTTATTATTTAAGTGGGGACATAGAAGAGAGAGAAATGATAAAATAATTTGAGTGAGGTTTAAAGTAAGAGAGAGAAAATAATAAAATATAGTATAACTTTACCAAATATAGAAGTGATGCATATAAAAAAAAAACACCCATAAAAGGAAAGTGATGCATATAAAAAAACGGAGGGAGTATAAGACAAACCAAACTTGGGAAAGAACAATATGACCTAAGATGACCAAAAATTGAAAATGACTCAATCTATTTATAACACAACTCAAACTCAAAAATGCTCTAACCTAACATGACTTTAATCCACCATCATTGATGACCCAACCTCCCTTGAACCAAACCTAAATATAACCTAACCAAAGATTATGCAAACTTGAAAATGACCAAACCTTGATGGTGTGGACATGAAAATTACCCAACTCATAGAGTTGATCCAAATCTGAAACAGTACAACCCTATCTGAATAAACTCACCTAAATGTGAACAGACTTAACAATGACTCAACAATAATGACCTAGGCCCGAGGACAACTCGATCTGGCAATAACATGTGCTGTCTTAGTCCTTCGATGGTTAACCCAAATTCGATCTCAACACTCATTTTGACAACCTTATCTAGTACCAATTGTTTTTAGGATGGAACCTTGCCATGCATGATTGCATGTGATTAAATTTCGCTCATGCATACGTGGGCTTCATTGATTTAGCTCAATAAAGATTCATCAAGAGAGGTATGTGTATAAGGGAAGACATGAAAATAATTTACTACAAAGGTTAATCTTTTTTTTTTTTTCTATGATTTTTTTGTGCCATGTTATGGTTGTGTCGTTTAACTTTCAATTGCAATAAACCAGTCTTCTAACAGAAAAGTCCTAATGTTTTTCCTTTTTCTTACCTAAAAAGAAAATCGCTTTACAGAAAATGGAAAATGTAATTGTTATTTGGATACTATATATATGTTATAATCTCATTGATTACAACAATTTAAGGCAGTGACTCACACCATATGTATTGGTGTTAGGGCCATGATAACATGGGGTATACCAATTACAAGAGCCACTTCCATATACAATTTCACACCCTAAGTTCAAACTACAAAACTGAAACACACAACTTTACCAATTATAAATATAGATATAGTAATTTTAAGGAAAAAAAAAATGGTGAGTAGTACACTGTTAAACCATTAACATCAACGTGAACCTGGAGGAGATTTATGTCCTGCTCCAGGGCTACGACCAGGAGAAGTTGGCCGAAATCCCTCAGTCTCAGTCTTTTTGTAGTGGTTCACCTTGTAACCTATCATGGCTGCACTTGGAGGCCTTGGCCTCACGATGAACCTCACTGAAGGAGGCCTTTGCATGTTATGGACATGTGTAGGAGTTGGCCTTGCAGCCGCCACCACGTTGAGTTTTGGTGGTAGTAGAATGACTACCAAAGTTACCAATAACCATATTGTGACTACACTCGTATTCTTACGTAAGTTAGCCATGGAACGATACTCCTCGGAGGGGAGGAACGAAGGGGGTTGGCTAGCTAGGTCAGAATGGTGTAGTGTAATGGTGTGATGTACATTAGTGAGATGTAAGGGGTATTTAAGATGATAATCAAAAGGTATTATACATCAAGTTGGCTTAGTAGTTGATTAGTCTGATGCACATGGTGTAGAGATTAATAAGTACATTAATGTACTAATTTATTTGGTTTCAAAAAAAAAAAAAAATGTACTAATTTATTTAACCCAAGAGTGGGGAAGTTTAATGTACTAAGCTAAGAGTAAGGCAAGAAGGCAAAATAACATGCGAATAATTCCATTTTTGGAAAGGATTTTAGTCTTGACTAATATTATTTCCTAAACTATATCTCTTACATGTTTAAGGAAAAAAGATTGGCTTTATTGATTAGACAACACTAAATGTCTTTAAAGTGCAATTTGCATTTTAATTGTATATTAATACATGCTTAATATAATACATATACTCTAACCAACAAGCTAGAATCTATTGAAAAACTCAAGGAAAAAGGAAGTTATTTTTAAACAAATATCTTACATAGAGATATGTACCTGCGTCAAATAAATTTATACATAATCAAAATGATTCTTCCGCTAATCAAGTTTAACATTTGTCTGTCATTGTCCTTTTATTTTCTTTTTACAAACTTTCTATATTTTTTTCAAATTAAAAGGTTTGTTGGTTTAGTAAAGTAATAGGTTTATACTTTGTAAGTTTGTAGTTAATTAGTTGTTTGAGAATCCCTTGTGTTATTCCAAAATAGGACGTTTCCGCTAACTAGATGAAAATAAAGCTTCTACTTTGATACTCTTGTTCTTGAGGTTTAGAACTTTGATGTATAGACCTAGGACCCTTTCTAATTAATATCTTTTCTCTTGTGATTCGGTCTCCAAATTAAAGAATTTTTCAAAGTGATTCTCATATCGATCTATGTTCGATTTGTGCAAATCTTTGGATGAAATTGTTCTGTATTTCCTCCATTCTCTCTTGACTCGTAAGTTGCTTGCAATAGTTTGTCAATTGCACAATTCAAAAACCTTTCATTCAAGCATCATTGGTGGTTTGTACACAAACTATGCACAAACTTTTATTTGAGCATATTTGATGTTTTATGTGCACGACAAAATATAATTGAATGAAATCTTGTTAGATTTGTCTTATTGTACATTGTCGAATTTTAAAAAATTTCATTTGTTGGCAATTAAATCTATCAGTAGTTGAAGTAATTCATTGACAAGTGTGTAAATCAAATTGAAACAACTTGCAAATAAAATATAGCAAAAGAAGCATTAGCTTGTGGCGAGAGATTAAAACGAAGTCACTAGAAAGAAATAAAATAAGCTGTTGCCATCAAAAATTTAAAAGTACAAGAATCATGTATCATACTACTACGCAATAAGTTATTGTAAAACCGCCTCATTATTATAAAACCATCTTATAGGA